TCTAGGAGCTCAGCAAAGAAAAGTCATCACAGCATGGTGGTGCTTCCCTTTAGCCCTTCGGATGCAGAGGCAAGCATATCTGTGTAAGTTCCAGGCTACCAGGGCTACATAGTTAAGATCTTGTTTCAACAAAAACAACAAAGATAAACAGAAAATAACGGGAAGACCATCCTGGGGTAGCACAGAGAATGCTTTCATGTCAATGCTTCTTTGCGTGTATTTGTGTATGTGGTGTATTTGTGCTCATGTGGGTGCTTTGTGCATGTGACATTCTGTGCCTGTATGTGAGCATGCATATGGAGGTCAAAGGTTGATGTTGGTTTTCTTCCTAGATCTCTACCTACCTTAATTTTTTTTTTAGGTGAGGCTCTCTCACTGACTCTGGAACTCATCCACTTGGCGGGGTTGGTTGTGTTTGCCTTCTTGATCAGGTGAGAAGGTGTCCAGGAAAGGGAAGGGTATCCCGAGGCATGGGAGCCCAGGAACCATATAGCTCTGGGAGGAGGCCTCCTGAGCAGAGACACGGCAGCTCTCAGGAGAGGGTTACCCCAACTGCTTACGAGCTAAGGAGCTTAGGAGTCTGAGCCCTGCTCCTTCTCCAACTGTTGCAGCTCTAGGGAAAGGTTAACCAACCTCTGATGAACCAAGGAGCTAAGGACCACAGCCCCGCTCCTTCTCCAGCCAATGCAGTTCCCAAGGGAAGACAGCCCCAACCCCTGATGAGCTGAGGACCTTTGGAGCCTGAGCCCTGCTCTTTCTCCAGCTGATGCAGCTCCTAGAGGAGGATTACCCCCCATAGGCTGAGGGACTTAGGAGCTGAAGCTCTGCTCCTTCTCCACTGCTTCTTTCTTCTCTTCTTCTTCATTGCTTCTTCTTCTGATGAGAGAGTCACAACAGACTTACTGGCGGGACGAATCCAGAAGAGGAGGTATGAATAGAGGAGTGGCTGCCTCTGCTCCCAGGAGAAGATGGCAGAGAACTGGGCAAACACAGCCTTTACACAGGGTTTTATTTTTTGGGGGGGGGGTTAGGGTGGGGGGGAGGAAGAGCTTTTTAGGGCAGAGATTTCCATAGTGAGGATTGGTGGGAATTGAAGTCCTGAGCTTGGGGGAAACTTAGGAATGGTGGGGGGAGTTGTTCAGCCTTCTCATCTAAAATTAGTGCAAATCTGTACACAGACTTGAACTCTAATCAAAACAACTTTCCTTAACTGAACTATGGATTTATACTAAGGGTCAGCTTTCTAGGTCTGGTCCCTGGTTGGCAGTGTCAGACCATGTAAAGCTCTGAGCCTCAGAGGAATGTCTAGTTTATAGATTGTTGTCACAAAGATGGCACTGCAGAAGCTCACAGACTAGCTCCAGTTAAACACACCTCCCTCCCTGGAATTTCCTGTCAGCAGCAGCTTTAACTGAGGCCTCAGGTGCTGCTGAGTTCTCTGCGGAGTTCTCTGTGGTTCAGCTTCGCAGTTTCACCAGGAGATTTAACCTTAGCCACTCTGGAGTTCTGAAGTGTTGCTGTCTGGAGGTGGAGAGAGGACAGCAGTACAGCCTGAAGATCTGAGCAACCCTTTTCAGGGACCACAGGGTATGGCACCAAGGAAAGCTGAAGGGATGAAAAAGGGGTACACAGGGAAAGATGTAGGGAGAGCCCAGAAGCAAAACTTGAAGCAGGCCTCACCTCATTCCGACAATTTCCTGCAGAGTATACAAAGTTTACAAAGTATGCAAAGTAAACAAAGGGAGTCTGGCCATGAATAGCCAATTGGCTGGCCAGTGATCCCTGGGGGAATCTTCCCGTCTCCACCTCCCACACCAGTCAGTGTGGGGATTACAGACCTGCAGTATGGAGCTCAGGTCCTCAGGCTAACACAGCGGGGTTGAGCAGTCTTCCCAGCTCCTTACTTCTATTCTGAAGTTCAGTTGCAGCTGCAAGTCCTGAACTCAGTTTTTGTTCTTGTGGGAAGGAAAGAAGAGATTTGAGAAATTCCTAGCCAGGGCAGAGAGCCCATTTCTATCACTAGGTGTTTTTCGCCTGCATCCTGGACCTGCTTCATGACACTGTAGGAGTTTGGCCCTCACCTTTCTGTGCATGTTATGCTAGCATCCACCTGCCTACACTTGTGTCCTCTTGTCATTGGCTACTTGCCAGCCAGTGGGACCTGTTTAGATGCAGTGGAGGCCAGAGTTACTGGGGAAGTGCTCAAAGGCAAGGTGATATCAGTAAGTATCCTGAGGTTACCCACTTCATTATTGAGCTAGGACTCTGCCTCCCAGAATTCCCACACCTCTGCAAGATACAATGGCTGCCTGGGGTAGGGACTGGCACCCTTCATTAGCTTCTTCCTCCTTTCTATTGCTTTCGCATGCCCATGTCAGTGTTTTCTGAGTCCTTCCCCACAACTCCTGGACTTGAGTCTTAACCTTAGTCGCTTCTGAAGGAAATAAATCTATATTGGTACCATGGCATCCGTTTCTCTCTCCTCACCAGTTCCTCCACTCCCTCCCTCCCTTCCTTACAGACCAGGCTCAGAGAAATTATCTGCAGAAGGAGCTAACCAGGAGGAATCCCTGCTGTCCTAGGACCCCACGCAGCTAGAGGCAAAGATGTAAAGAGAGAGAGGCCTTCTGCGATCCAGATCCTCCCCTTCATGTTCCATCTGCTGCTCCAATGACAATCTCACCAAGCGCACCCCAGCCGGGCTGCTGTGATGACTGTGGTTCTTGAAAGAGCATATAGATTCCAGTCCTAGCTCTGCCACTTCCTCCTTCATGGCTCAGGCCAATGCTTACCTGGTTCCAGGTTTCAACTTACCCCTCTGCAAAACTGAGGGGCTGGAAAGAATGACCTCTCAACTCCATTTCTTGTGTGCATCTATATTTGTTTAATAGCGAAGGGGGGCAGCTATGAGTTGTCTTGAGGGGAGCAAATGGTTGATGCACACTCGCAACCATGGTTATGAGGGGTTGTGAGTGTGACCCTTCCCCCTGCTACATGGAGCTCAAAAGAACCCCAGCATTCAAGTTGGCTTCCCTTTTCCCTGTTCTAATCATGCCAGCTAAAAGTCAGGTTTTGATGCAGGAGAAACCTGGAGGTGATAAAGTCAATGCCATAAGGATTTACTAACAAACTTGTTTAGGAAATACTAAGTTACAGGAGCTAGAATTTAGCTAAAGGAGAGTGGCCTCCAACATGACTGGAAGATAAGTACTGTACTGACCGGGGAATGTCTGGGGCTGGTAAATCATGCCTTTATAACAGTGGTCCTCCCCCTTCCTACTGCTGCGACCCTTTAGTAGAGTTCCTCATGTTGTGGTGAGTCCCAACCATAACATTATTTTTGTTGCTACTGCATAACTGTAATTTTGCTGCTGTTATGACTCATAATGTAAACATCTGTTTTTAATGGTGTGAGGTGACCCCTGTATAGGATTGCTCGAACCTCCGAAGGGGTGGTGACCCACAGGTTGAGAACCACAGACTCATAAGGTTGTAGAGACCATTGTACTAGGGGTCAGCAAACTTCTGTACAGGGTTAGAGACTGAACGCCTCAGGCTGGTGGACCACGTGGTCTCCACTGCACCCTCTCAGCTCTGATGCCAAGAGATGGCAGATCAAAGACTACAGCTGCACTGAGGATGAGGGAGAGGGGGACAGGTACCCAGGGCATGAACTTAAGAAGGCCAAAAACCCAATCATCAAGATAGGTATTTTAATGCTGTTATTTCCCCATTTTTTTTTTTCACCAAAAGAGCTACCCCCAAATAAACAAAATATGAAAAATTCAAATGAAGAATCAGAAGATATATGAGTCTTGGAAGTTGTTATGTTTCAGTAAAACCCTTTGGCTGGTAGGCTAGTTTGCTGGCACAGGTTAGGCAGTCCTTGGGGCCTTTCAGGTTACTCTTAGCCTCATGTGGCTAGGTGTAATTGTGACATATTCCTTTTAGGGACACTTTCCCCCTTCTCTAGTTCTTAGTGCTCTTTGGGCTTCTCAACTCCCTCTGTTTTACACCCGTTACATTCTTAAACATTTAATAGCCTGTGCTTCCAATTGGGTGTAGAAGTTTCTCTAATAAGAAAACAAGGTTCCTGTTCAGACTCATGGGCTGTCTTTACTCACATCACTGGGTAGGGAGACTCCCCTCGTGGTTGCCTGAAACTATGCATGATACCCAGTCCCATATACAAACACCAAGATGGCTGTAAGAGTGACCAGCAGGGCCAGTGGAGTGGATATATTTGACAAGAGTGACTTGGGTCCCAGTAGGGCCATAGCAGAACTGTGTGAGCCTCTGTTGTGCTTCAGAATTCTGTGAAATGTGAAGCTTGGGAGTTATTTATTTCTGGACTCTGCCAGTTTTTTTCTTCAGACTGCCGTTGACTGTGTTTTATTATCTGAAACAGTGGGCTTGACAGATGGTTTGGTGAGAATCTGGTAAATGGCTCAGAAACCTGCTCATCTTGGCATAGGCCCATTTCAGTAGTAATGTGTTCTAACCAAAAAGTGTCTCTGAGTCATCGAACAGAAGCAAAAATATAAAACTCCATGGTCTATATTTGTTGAGTAATGAATGAAGCCAGGGCTTCACAATTCTCATCACAGGGATTACAGAGCAGTCAGCCTCAGCTGGAAGCAACCTCAGGTACCTGTGAGGGGTGTGGCTCAGGTGGCTATTTGGGATAGGTTTGTTTTTTGCCATCTCATGATGTTGAGAGGTTCTATGACAATAAAGATCAGCCCCGTTCCTTAGAGAGTTGGAGTTGACACCAAGATAGCAGAAATCTATCTATCAAGATAGCCTCAGGAGCTAATTTTGGAGTCACTGCCTGATTGAACGTGTATAGAAGATGGGGTGAACCCCATCTTCACCCCTGTAAACAGTAACTTTCACAGTGCAGGGAGAAGCCAATGAGGCTCTCATGCATTAACCATGGTAAAAGATTGGGTCAGGTAAGATGTCAATTAATGTGACAACTCATGATGAATCTATGTTCCAATAAAAGTTTATTTGGCTCATCCAGATCAAGTTTAATAATATTTAACAGATTCTTTGAAGAACATGAATAATTATAACAGTTCTCCGGGAACTCCTGGTCAGTCAGCAGCATGTCCCTTTACTCAAAAAGTAAAGCTTCCCTCTGAGGACAAATGGCACATAAGGAGTGCTGTGCATTGCATTTTCTTAAAGGAAAAAAAAAAAAGTAAAATCTAAACACTTTATATATTTACATATTTTCCATTTAAAAACTGGTCAGCGTGATTGTTTTAAAATATGTTTCTAATGCATTGTAGGTTCAATATATAAATCATAGTTAGCTAGATTTAAGGTGCTGCGATGTGAGGGTGAACACAGCGCAAGGAGATCTCTCAACAGACCAGTTAGACTTCCTGTGGGTATCTTTGGGATGTTGGCAGGGGTAGGGGGTGGATAGACACCAGTGGCAGAGTGTTCAGGAACAGACTGGGGACTGTTTGTGTCATCTCCCGTCCCCTATGCTTCTGGAGAGGGCTCTGGGCTCCAAGTTCATCTTAACCTAATCTATGAGGGCAAGGTTACTTTGAATCCCTTTGTCTTGAGTTTTCCACATTGACAGCTGGCTCTTCAGGACACTTGAGGTTGGCACCCTATTTTGAACACCTAGTTTTTCTCCCTGGGTTTCCTGCCAGCAAGGTTGCTAGCTCTCAGGTCATTCCTCCAGGGCCCACTCTTGGCTAGGACTAAATGGATGCGCATGATCAAGGGCAACATTAGTTAAGTATGGTGGAGCCTCTGTGGAATCTTCCCTCCTAACTCATTTGCTTCTATGGAAAGCACCTTATTGCTTTTCCTACAAATGAGCACTCTGTGCCAAGAACATTCGGGCCCCAAGTAGGCTTGGAGAGGAGCTGTGTGCATGTGGGTGGGGTGGGTGGGATGCTGGGGGTTGGACAAGAGGGAGTCTTGGAATTGCTGTCTTCAAACTCACCCGCGTATGACATCCACTGGGGAACGGGGGCTGTGTTATGTTGAGTCAGGAAAGTGCATAGGGCATGCAGGAGGCGGTTGTATGCACAGGCCTGGGAAATGACTAAACCTACCCACAGTCCCCAACTGCAGACTGTGCTGTCGGGGGCAAATACAGGGAGGCGGTAGGTGAGCATTTAAGCACTTTGCGGAGTCATAGAAATCTGGTGACTAGGAGAAAGAAGCTGGTTCTGTTTCCAGTTTCAGGATACAGGAAACATTGTTCTAAATTAAAGGAAAGGATGGGGAAGATGGTAAGGAACAGTGAGAAGCACTCAGGACCAAGTTTTCTGACCAAAAAGCCAGAGTGACCCCAGCAGAGGAAGACATTACACTGTGGTCAGACACTGGTCCAGGGGGCAGGAGCCGGGGATTCAGACTACACTGACATTCACTAGGCCTGTGGTCCTAAGTCATCACAGCATCTCTGGGCCCAGAGGTCCATTGGAGACTAGGTGGGTCGCATGGCTTGGAGACTATGTCTGTAAGCTCTTTCTGCCCCCTTAACCCTGGTAGGGCTGTAGACTGCTGTCCGAGATCCCTTCTTCCCTGCACACTGTCGCTTAGAAAACACACGCCTTCCCTTCGAGGGGAAAGTGATAGCTCCCAGCCAGGCTCTGTTCAAACCCGCTCCCGGAGGTTAAAGGCTAGTTATTAAGGCAGTTTAAGAAACGGACATTCCTCTTGCTCCCTGGATCCTCGTGCGTTCTGCTAATCCCAACGCAGCAGAGCGGGGCTGAAGGAGTGGTAGCGGGGCAAGGAAGTGGTCCAGCTTCCTGGGTGGCGTCTTGCTCCTGGAGTTCTCCTGCACCCCTTTCTGTGCTCACCACCTTTCTTTGGAGAAGGCTTCTGTCTGCACGAGGTCGCCAGGGTGCTCGGAGATGCACGCACCATTCAGGTCACCCAGTTTGTTCTCTGGTAGGTCCTCAGGCTTGGTGCAGAGCTTTAGAGCACGCGAGATGAATACGTCTAAGTCGAACTGAGGACTGGCTCCTCCATCGATGGGTGTCGGGTGTCCCGGGGGCGAGGCAGAGAGACGGGGTTCTGGGGCATCAGGGGGAGGGCTGGCGCGCTCAGGGCCACTTTGCGTGCTCTTGACCCACTGCGCAATCTCCAGGAAGAGGCTGGCCGGCTCATCCTCACAGGACACCGGGTCTGCGGGTACCGCGGCCTTGGGTGGCCCGGTGGCCGCCTGCTTCCAGTGCGACAGGTCCAGGATGAGCTTGGGCTCGGAGTAGTGGTGGGGCTTGTTGTCACGCCACAGCAGCTTATCTAGGTAGGACGGAGACCCCACCTTGTAGTCGCAGGAGCGCCCGTAGTCAGCCTCGAAGGCGCGCTCCATGGACGAGTGGGACTGCTCCAGGAAGCGCTCGGAGCTGCTCTGAGAGTCCTTGCGTGGGTCCACCTGAACGTCCTCGGCCAGCGGGGCAGAGCCAGCGCGAGGGTCGCGCTGCACCTCGCTCGCGTCCTGGCACCTGTCAGGCCGCCACTCCAGGTCTGACGACAGACTCACAGGATACCTGCAAGGACGCAAATGGAGGCACCGTGGATGAATGGGGAGCCAAACTGCCTGACCACTCATTATTCCTCCTAGTCCCTAAAGTGCAGGTACGCTGACCCTTCCAGGTCGGAAGGTGACGGTGCAGGTGAACGCGAGCCTCAATGGCGCAGTAGGGGACTGATCCTTGAGTTTGGCCTTTAATAATCAACATCGTTCTTGAGCACTCACTGTGTGCAGGCATTACACGATAGACTAGAGGACGAAAGAACACAACCACCATCCTTACGAAACTTTCTAATAGGTTCGCCTGCATCACTCATAAAATAACACCGGGTCTTGTTAAACTGCAGATCTGGACCCTGCAGCTCTGTGTGTGTGTGTTGGGGGGGGGGGGGCGCTGGGTTTCTGCATTTTTAGCAGGCTCCCTGTTGCTGCTGATAATCCTTGGACCCCACTCTGAGTGGCAAACCCAGGTGCTTCCTAATCCTGGCTCAGATTTGAATCACAGAGGAGGATTAAAAATAAGTGCCAGGTAGCCCTGGCTGCCCACCACCAATTTTCTGGTTTAGCAGCTCTGGATGGTCCTGCCTGGGCATGTTTCTGAGACTTCTCCCAGGGGTTCTAAGATGTAGCCAGGCCTGTTGACTCTGCCAGGATGGATTTGGACAGGTACCTTGTAGCACTCTGCCTCCAAACAGAGCAGACGGGGCCTGCAGAAAGATCACAGACCCCATCGAGGGAGGCCAAAGAGCCTGGAATTCTGCCCTCTGCTGACTGCCCTGTAGCCAAGGAGACTGTTACCAGATAGCCAAGAGCAAAGGAAGGGCAGATGGGCAGGCAGGAGGCTGGCTGTCAGCTCTGGCTGAACCCCTTTCTTATGCCAGGTGCTCGGGTTGGGAGCACAGACAAGGTGGTAGCTCCTGGCCAGCTGCTCCCTCAGCCGGAGCTCACACAGGACAATTAGACCTGCAAGGCCAGGCAGCTGCAGCCCATAGAATACGGGGTACTCTAATGCTGGTTGGAGTAGGGGAAAGGCTGGAGCTGCCCACCTCCCAGGGACACTATTCACGAAGGCATGGCTCTCAGAGTTCAGTACCGATCTTCCCCCAACAACCCCCACCAATGCCCTTGAAATTGCAGGGGTTTCTAGGAAGAAGAGCTGGGAAGCATCAGCAATTGTCTGCTTCACCCCAAATGCTGGCCATGTATTATCTACTACCTTTGCAGGGGACTTAGTTTACCACCAGAGCCTTAAAGATAAGAAAATTAGCATGCCACAAAGGTGAATGTCACCGCAGCACTGACATGGACTTCCTCCCCCCGTCCTTTGTGCAGGTGTGATGGGGAAGCCCAGAAGCAGGAGTGTCCAGCTTGCTATTGCCCTGGACTGACCAGCAGTGACCTCAGGTACCCTGCTAGAGTCTTCCCTGGTGCGGATCCAACACTCTGTGCCCTGAATTCCATGGCATGGAAGTGGGCCGGGCACAAGTCTAAGAACTACAGTCTAGGGCAGCCCCAGCATGAGGCTGGCAGAAGAGCCTATTAATCTCCATTTGCTGACAACGAGAAGCTAGCAAGCCTGCCCCAAATAACAGTGCCCTACCCCCTTTCTGCACCCCCTCAGTTTGAAACCTATCATCTGTCAAATGACTAAAAAATATTGCCTATCTGTCACTTATGTAACAAGCTGTCACATTCCCATGGCAGTAGGGCTCCCAGTTAGCCCCCTTGGAGCTGGAGCAGCTAAGCACCCCCTCCATTGCTCGTTCTAAACTGAACAGCACTGGTGCTGCCTCCAGACAAGAGCAGATGGTGGGGCCCCGGGGCCCTGGGGCCCTGAGAAAGCCAGGACAGGAAAGGATCTATGAGCTCAGGACTATCCCCGCAGCAATAGTTTAAACAAACAAACAAAACACAAAACAAAACAAAACAAGAACCTACTTTTCTTCAGTACTGACCCTTGTCAAGGATCCCGAAGCCAAGTGAAGCTTAACAGCAAAGCTCTTAGTCTCATGGATGCTGATACAATTTGGGGATGGCCCCACCCGGGTTTGCTGTGGAACACAATGCCAATGTCTTAACCTTTCTAAGCTGTGGCTTCCTCATGGACACTGACAATCACACAGCCTCCTTTAAGGGCACTCACAGGAGGTGTGAATGATGTGCAAAATGAGAAATGTTTTGTGACAAGGAGTTTGTGCTTGGCGGTTCATATTTGGCCTTCCAAGGGCAAAATCTTGACTGAAAATGTAGCTCGGCAGCAGAGCGATTACTCTAGGAGAAAATTCCAGCCCGTCGTTCACAAAATACTACAGCTGGCACTCAGTGTCACTTGCCCCTGTGGTCAGTGGTTTTAGGTGTCAAGAAAAGCTGGACAGAGTGGAAGTCCCTGACTCATGTGGGAAGTGCCTAATAGGGGGCTACACATGGGCAATGTTTGGGGACAAGAGAGAAGCAGGAAACGAAAAGTGCCCAATGCAATATACAACACGAGAGAAGGAGATCATGGAGGATCAGTGGGAAAAGGGAAGTGAGAGAATATGGCAGCATGGCTCAGGACGATAGCTAGCCTTGGACACAAACCTGTCCCAGTTAGAGAGCTGGCTCTGGCTGGCAGCCATCAGCACGATGTCGTCGATCTCGTCTTCAATGCGGAAGGGGTGCTGTGAGGTGGGCTCATCCTCGGGGCAGGAGTAAGGGCTCATGTAGGGGTGCTGTAGCCCCATCTCAGCTGTTAAGCGGTCCATGGGGTTAAAGGTCAGGATCTTCTCCAGAAAGTCAATGGCTGTAGGGAGCAAAGGCAGTCATAGAGGTCACGTGCTGCTCCTGTCAAGCTGAGAGAGGAATGGGGTGGGCAAAAAAGTCCAGAATTCCTAGAGCTAAGGCAGCGCCTCTGTTTCCCCACCTTTCTCTGGGGGAAGAGGGCTGCATGCTAAGCTGGCAGCCTGTCAGAGTGCCTGAGTGACCTTTGTAGAGCAAATCTACCGTATTGGCCCAGGCCACTTGCCATGAGATGTTTATGTGACAGAAGGCTACACTTCAAGACCAATAAGAAATACATCTTACTCAAGCCATTGGGGTCTTGGATCTCTCTTCAAATTGGCTGAGGTTGTATCCCACCTACACTCAAGGCCCACTGGAGAAGTAGCACATGTAACCTATGAAATGACTCCTTTGCACCACAGGGTTTGCTGAGCTCATGTTACTTAACTGTTACAGCCACCCCATTATGGTCTGGATTGGACATGAAGGCTCCATGTCCAGACCAGTGATATTCAGAGAAAGGCCTATTAGACTGGAGGGCTCTGACCTCACCCGTGGACCCACTCATCAGTGTGTTCATCAGTGAATAAACTATCAGAGGAGACGGTGAGGTCAGATTGGTGGAAGTGGGTCCCGGGGGGTGTATTCTTCAGGGGTGTGTCCCATAGATGGCCAATTGCTCATGCTCTTGTCTGCATAGCCCTTCTGCCATAATGCTCTGATTCCCACAGGCCCAGAAACAAAGGGCCAAGTGACTGAAATTTGGAAACTGTAGGCCAAATGAGCCTTTCCTCCTTTCTGTCTCTCGTGCATTTTGTCACAGTCAGAGAAAGCTGATTGATATATGTTCTAAAGCATTACCACGCCTATTTTACAGGTAGATGGTGTGTTCAAGATGACACAGCTAGTCACTGGGAACTGGGAACTGAGCATCAGTCCAGCCCTGAATGCACACATTCTCTGTACTACCTTCAGGGGAGAGGAAACAGTAAGGCAGGCAGACGGGGAGTGGAGCCTGCTGGCCCGCTACTGACTGCCTCAGGAGTTGCCATGTGGCTGGGAATCTGCACTCTTGAGAGTGCACAGGCTGACTGTCCCTCATCCAGAGTGTTTGCCAACTGAATCTTCTTTTGAATGTCAGATATTTTCTGATCTTTAAAATATTTATATACTCCTTCCTGGGTGTGAACCCCTAATACCCAAAACTAAACACCTACGTGTTCTAAACTGTGAAACTTCTTAAGCTTGTAGCTAGAAAAGCTTCTATTGCCAGGGGTGCTTGATGTCTGAATCCTAGACAGCGTTCTCGTCTATGGATGGAGGCCCACCTGCCCCTGTGCCACAAAGTAAAGCCAGAACCCAGCCTCTTGGGATGGTGGCCCCCCAACCCCCCCTGTAGGCTCAGGTACCTTCACTGTTGAGATCAGGGAGCAGCTTGCGCAGTGGCCTCTTCACTTCCCAGGTGCTGCTAACGAAGGATGGCATCACCCTGAGCAACTCCTCCTTGTCCTCCTCCCGGACCACAGGGATGGTCTCCAGGATGAGCTGCATCTGCTCCAGCTCATGAGCCCCTGGGGAGGTAAATGCCACACGGGTGGGTAAGCCGGTTCCCTGCACAGCTGCCACAGATGAGGCTGCTCCAGAGGAGCTCCAGCTGGCTAGAGAGGACACCAGGGGGCAGCATGGAGCACAAGGCTCTGGCGGAGGGACTCAACCCCTTACTGGAGGTGTGGCCACTGCAGAGTGCTTGCTATCTCTGGGGTTGGCTTTGTTAAGTGAAAAAGGCAAGGATTTCTTATGGGCGAACGTGAAAAGTCCCTCAGGGGCTGGGAGACTGTGGACTTTTGTGATATAGGGCTTGCCTGGATGACACAGGCCAATGGGGGAAGGCCTTGTGGTCAATAGCCCTGCTTTGGACCTGAGTTCTCTGCTTCCTGTCCACCACAGTGATGTTAACCAGCTGTTCAACAAGTTGCCAGTGCTACTGACCCGGCCACTTCAGCTACCAAGCCTTGTCCTGTAGTGAGTGACACTATAAGCCAACACAAACTTCTGCTTCCTTAAGGTGCTTCTGTCAAGCATACTGTCACATTGACGAGGGAAGTAACTCATCCAGGCCTGTATCTAGTTCTGCCTGAGGCACATCTGTTCTGCTAGTGGCCTGGAATCCCAGGAGCAGGTTCTCATGTGGACTGAGTCAGGGGACGCTAAGGCTATGGCTTGGCACACTCTTTACTAGGCTCGGGAAGGAAACAATTGTAAAGAAAGGGTGAGCCATCTCTGTAGGGTTCCAAAGAGGAGGATCCCACCCAGAAAATTCTCAGGAGCAAGAGCATAGGGAATAGTAGGTGGATTTTAGACACAGTGAGGAAGGTGGGTTCTCGCAGCTCTGAAGGAGAGGTGGTAGGGCCGGACAGAGCCTTGCATTCACTCCTCTGTTCACTCATCCATCAGTGGTTATGAGCTGGCACTGTGGAGGCCAGAATGAGAACGGCTCCCATAGGCTCTCAAGTTTGAATGCTTAGTCACCAAGGAGTGACACTGTTTGGAATGACTAGGAGGTGTGGCCTTGTTGGAGGAAGTGTGTTCCTAGGGGTTGGCTCTGAGGTTTCAAAAGCCTACACTAGCCCCAGTGTCTCTCTGCCTGTGGATCAGGATGTAAGGTTCTCGGTTACTGCTCCAGGGCCATGCCTGTCTGCTCCCTGCCATGGCGACCATGGACCCCCCCACTGAAACTGTAAACAAGCCCCCAATTTATGCTCTCTTTTATAAATTGCTGTGGCCATGGTGTCTTCACAGCAACAGAACGCTAAGACAGGTGCCATCTCTCTGCCAGGCTGACCCCTCAGTCATACCTGTCCTTCCTGGAAAGGCCGGCCTCCCTGGCCATCCACTTTCATGGAGAGCCAGCCCTTCTCTGGCTCCTGCAGAATCCCAGGCTTCCAGCAGCTGGTGGCTTAAGGAGTATCATGCCCTAGTGACTCCCCCCAAGCCCATCGAGCACTATTATAGTCAAGGACCCACAGCTTTGGGAATTCCTTTAAAGAGATGCCTTGGGCCTCTCCCTGTCCTAAGCTCAAAGCTAGGGGACACCAGAAGTGTCCCTTGTGGGCTATCCTCTCTGGATGAACACTTTAGATCATTCTCCAGGGGACCAGAAGGTCTAGGATAATCAAGTCTGATTGTCAGACACTGACACCTTGCTCTCTGGACCCTGACTCCTCTCCTCTGTGAGATAGTACACCAGGAATACACAGCTCTGAGCCTCGAGTCACCTCCTCAGCGAGGGCTGAGCTGGCAGGGAACTAGTCCTTCTCATTTGTGAGCTCCTGCTAGGGAGCAACTGTGTCATACCAGAGGAGCCAGTGGAGTTTCACAACTTATACAGTGGACAAAGGGCAGTCAGACAGCCCCAGAGGAGACCTGGCTGCCCGTCATCTCTCTTCCAACACCTTATAGAAAGAGGATGACTTCCGACACTTGGAATGACTGGTAAAAGGAACCCATTACGTTGACACAGCAGGGGTGCCAGCTCATGGCAAATGTGTGATAAACCTCATCTTCCACTGCTTTCTGGAGCTGGGGAACATGAATTTCTCAGAGAAGCCAGTGATATACATCCATGTGGAAGACTGAGACCCATTGGTGACAATGTCACCTGGGGGAGGCACATTCCCATTCTGAGTTTACGAAGGAGCCACTGAAAACTGGGAGCAGGGTGCTGCTGTTCTGAGCTCCTTCTTCTCTGCTGACGTGTCCTTGGGGTCAGAGACAACCTTACTAGCTGCTGCCTTTCCTATCTCCTTTGTAATGAAGTTCTGACTGTCACTGTCTACCTGAGCATATGGAGGTCAACTGTGCACTGCTTTGGTTATCCAACACTGCAGCCAGAGGGACCAGGGCTGGTTCAGAATCCTGAGAGTCAGCAAAAGCACCAATTTGTGAAAATGGGTGGGAATTAGGGAAGGGTGGGGGGATCTCAGACAGAGGAAACAGTAGACTGAGAAGCAGGTATGGAGACCTGGCCAGAGAGGGAGATAGAAGACATCAACCCAAGGCCCAGACTCAGGAGGAGCAGGGGACAGCAGCTGCTAGCCAGCATGACAGGATGAGAGTAAAATGGATTCTTCTGGAGTAAGGACAGTCAGGCCTGTGGTGTGGGTACAGCTTCCATGGCCACTATTCAGAGGCCACTGAGTTGTCAGTAGTTTAATGCACTGAGGAGTTCATAGCTGAAGCAGGAGGGGGTGAGTGCTACCTTGAGGAAGTAGCTTACTGTGGGCATGCATCTGAAGGGTATCTTCATTTCCCCAACATTGCCTTTCCACCGTGACATCTCTGCCTTGCCACAGGTCTGTCTAATTGCAGCCAGATGAACAGTGGCTGACACCCCTGAAACTGAGACCAAGTTGAGGTTTTAGGTGGTTTATAACAGGTATTTTGTCAGCAATGCAAAATGACAAAGAGAGATGAGCTAGAGGGGTGAGGAGAAGCTGGAGGAGAGGAAATGGAAACCACAGTGGCACCTCCAGGCAAGGAGCAGGAACAAGGATGAGGATGAAGTACCTTGTGAGAGCCAAGAGTGGATGACTGCCTGGGGCATTAGCAGAGCCGTAATGGAGGCCAGGGCACAAACGGAGTTTTCTAAACAGAAAAGGGTTTCTTTATTTTGTGTCAAGGTGAAGAAAATCTTGATAGATTAGGGAAGCAATGGGTTATTTGTTTGGGCTACAGGAGAGACAGTATCAGAGAGGGAGGGGGAAGAGGCTAAAATACTGAGCAGGTGTTTTCAGCACCGAATCTGAAGGCGTTGGAGTACAGGTGATTTAGCTCACTCAGGCTGTTAGAACAACATACCCTGGACCAAATGGCTCACAAGCAACAAACATTTGTTCCAGAGACTGAGATCAAGGCACTGGCAGATTCAGTGACTAGGGAAGGGCTTGTTCGTCATGAACGGGACATTCCTGCTATGTCCTCACACGGTGTCAGGGGTGAGGAGACGCTTTGGGAACTAATGCTTTGGGTTTAGGAGCACTAATCGCACAGACCATTTCCTCTAGGTCCCGTTTTTAAGTAGTACCACAACGAGGTGGCGGCTGCTTCAGACCAGAGCAAAACGCTTAGTTGATTGCAAAAGTCCTGTGCTCAGAAGGCTAATTTGAGCTTTTATTGTATTTTTGTGTGAAGATATTACTATGAAATACTACATTGATGAGAAGTAATCATAAAAAGCAAAAAAAAAAGTCATTTAAGCAAAAGGTAGGTATATTCTGGACTTAGTGAGTGTGTTGTACATGGTTTGAACACCACTGGGAAAGAAGCATGTGGTCTCAGTCAGCAACTTACCCGCGAAGAGCATTTTCCCCGTGAGCATCTCTGCGAGGATGCAGCCAGCTGCCCACATATCGATGGCTTTTGTGTAGTTGTTCGGGGACAGGAGCAGTCGTGGAGAGCGGTACCACTTTGTCACCAACCCTTCTGACAGATAACCCTAAAAGATAAAGTCCCCTACGTTATCAGTCAGAGATCTGCAGATGCTGCCCCTCCCCTCCTTCTTGGTTTCCCCTCCCAGAAAGGATTAGAGCTCCTTTCGGAATCCCTTCTCTCCTTGGTTCTTTTCTCTTGATCATAGCTGTGGGCCTAGGATTCTATGTGTGGGAGGGCAGGATTCAGGAAATCAATGTTTTGGAAGGAATGGTTTTCCATACCCCTGGATATAACCAAGTCTGCCCACATCGGTTAACAGGAGCCATGCTCAAGTTCATTGCTGCTATCAACTATCATAAAACATTGTTTTTGTCTAGTGGCTGACTCCGAGAAGTAGCCATAGATTTGAAAGTGAGCCAGTGGCATTTATACCGATGATGGGAATTAACACTGCCCCAAACCCAGGTGCCAGGTAGGCCCCTGCTGAGAACAAAAAAAGAGTTTCTTAACAGGTACAGGCAAATGATGCACCCACCAAGTAGCCGAGAGCCACAGGGCAGTCAGGGGTTCTGTAGGTCCAGGGAATCCTGGGTATCTACAGAGTCTTGAAGGATACTTTGATGATTTGGGTCACTGTATCATAATATGTAGTCTGGGGTGAAACTGGTCCTAATTTCACACAACAATGCTGTTTTATACACAGATAGGGCAATATATTCAGGCAACATAGAACTTGTCCTCCATGTAACTCAGAAACTGGGTCCAACAGTGAAGCCAGATCGCCTACATGGAATTCCCAGAATAGTTCATCACTGAAGGAAAAGCCCAGACCCATTTATAGGTAAAAGTAAGAACAAAGGTCCCATAGGAAATTCTGGGATTGTTCTTGGTATTTGCTGTTGCTCCCAGTTTTGCACTGAAAATTTTCTTTGTTCTGATATAAAGAGTATCACAGACTCAGGTTAAAGCAGATGAAAAATGAGAAAGCCCAATTACCCTGGTTGAGCAAAGACTTAAGAGCAGGCCCAACACCAGTGGGGAAAAAGTGGGGACTGAGCAATATGCTGGTGACATCATCGTCATTTGCAGATTTGGGGCTGTACTCCTGGCTCCTCCCTCCTCTCCCAGCCAGGCCACCGCTGCTAGAATCCTTCAGACCCAGGGCAGCTAACAACAGCTCTAATTTTCCTGCACCTTACTAGCTTGGAGCTGACCATAAAGACATTCTCGGATCTACCCTTGTCCACAATTGTCTATAAAAGGCGTCCCTCAACTTTGAGGGTTCCTGCTCCACAAATTAGAATGAGCAGACTGCAAGACCACACAGGTGTCTCACTCAGTCTGTGAGCATTTGATCTTTTTTTTTTTTTTTTTTCCTTCCTGGTCTGTTTGCCTTTCTACACAGCTGTGTACATTTCAGTCATGCTTATTGAATGAATTCTCCATGAAAACCCGAAGGTCTTGGAGACGGGGGCGGGGGTTCCCTTGAAGGTAGTGTGCCCAGAGAAGGCTTAGAAGTACCATATCTCCTTCAATATATCTCACTCTACTGCATTTCCTCATCTGTGTTCTCTAAAATTCAACCTGTAGATGTGTTTCCTTGAGTCCTGTGAACCACTCTTATTAAATGATCTAACCCAAGGAGGTGTCATGGGAACCCAGAGTGACAGCTGGCTGGTCAGGGGTTCCAGAGACTCGGGGTTCCAGGGGCTCGGCACTGGTGTCTAAAGTGGGGACATTCTGGTGGCACTGAGCCTTCCTCATGGGATCTGATGCTATCTCCAGCTAGATTAAACCGACTTTACAGATATTATACTGGCTAGCTTTATGTCAACTTGACAAAGGCTAGAATCATTTGAGAGACAGGAACCTCAATTGAGAAAATGCTGCAGGCAAGCCTGTAGGACATTTTCTTAATCAGTGATTAATGGGGGAGGGCCCAGCCCATTGTGGACGTGGCCATCCATTAGCTGGTGGTCCTGCATTCTATAAGAAAGCAGGCTGAGCAAGCCATGGAGAAGAAGCCAGTAAACAGCAGTCCTCCATGGCCTCTGCATTAGCTCCTGCCTCCAGGTGCCTGCTCTAAGTTCCTTTCCTGGATTCCTTTGATGAGGAAGGAACGATCATGTGGAAATGTAAGCCAAAGAAACCCTTTCCTCCCGAAGTTACTTTTGATCATGGTTTCATCACAGCACTGATAACTGTGAATAGGACAGACTCTAGCTGGTGGCCTCTTAAGAACAAGCTACCTGCTGGATCCTCACTCACAGGTTCTGGAGTCACGGAACTGGTCTTTTGGTAGTAATAGGAGGGTGAACAGCACATGTGTGCAGTACTCTCAGGGGTCACAGAAGGACATAAGATCCCCTGGAACTAGAGTTGCAGACGGTCGTGAGCCACCATGTGGGTGCTGGGAATTGAACCTGGATCTTCTGAAAGGGCAGTCATTTCTCCAGACTCCTTCTGTTAGTTTTGTCCAGCATGCCTCTATCCTCCTAACCTTGATATTTCACAGTTCAATTTCACGATCTCCAACAATTCCATCATGTCTCTCCATTTCTAGTTTCAAGCCCTGGCAACCATTGTTTTCTGTTCGCCTGGACTTTTGTACTTTTTAAAAAATTAACGTATTGATAAAGTCTCACTATGAAGCTTACTAGGAAGGTTGGCTCTGAAACCCTTTTTAATTTGTTAAATAAATATTTTATTTATATGTGCACAACTATTTGCCTACATATGTATTTATATGCACCAAGTGAGGGCCTGTTGCCTATGAAAACTAGAAGAAGGCATCAAATTTTCCAGAACCGGAATTCTAGACAGTTGTGAGGCACCTTGTGGGTGTTGGGAACCGAATCCCTGTCCTCTTAACCGCTGAACCATCTCTGCAGCTCCAGCCTCAAACTCTTGATGCTCCTGCCTCCTGAGTGTGGATGAAAAGCATGTACCACACACCCAGGCTCCTTCTGGTTTTACTTCGAATATGACACATATAAGTGGAACCAGTTTTTGGCCCTTTGAGCCTGACTTTCCTCACTTACCACATGTACAACAGTTTTCCATCATTCTTAAAATCCCAGGGACAAGCCAGAGTGTTTGTAGTAGTTCTTTACTTCAGGGCTTGGTTTTGTTTTCTGACTGGAGGGTGATACTTTCAGAGAACTAAAGCACCGTGCCTAGCTGGGACATGGTTTAAGAGATTTCACTTTCCCCAGATGAGCTGCCTTGTTGGGCCTCAGTGGAAGAGGATGCGCTTAATCCTGATGTGTCTTGATGTGCTGGGGTGGGTGGGTCTTCCCTTTTCTGAGAAGAAGGAGAGGGGAGAAGGGATAAGAAGATGGGGTTGGAAGGAGAGGAGGGAGGGGCTTTGATAGGGATACAAAGTGAATAAAAACAAAAAGACTTTTCACCGATAAGTCAATAAGCAATCTTGTATTGACTAGAATGTTCTGGAAGTAATCTCCCTTACCATAGAGTCTAATGCTGGAGAAAAGTGAGGACATAGGGCTTACTTCCCAAACACCTGCTCATTGGCAGGACAATTTTGGCCACAATTTTGAACCCATCTGTGATACAAGCTAAGTCAGCTCCTTACCTTTCACTGAAAACCAACAACACACTGGATCAGTGACAACTACAGTTATTTCCATATGGATGCTGGTCCCCAACATCTTTACATAAAATGATACATGAGGGTGTACTCCTGGGCATTGGGGGATTTGGACAGTCACCATGTCTTCTGCTGAGCCCCATAACAAGGAAAGGCCTGGGACAAACAGGAGGCTCCATTTCTGGGTCTAAGGGGTAGACACTGGGCAGGAATCCTGCCTGGATAAACCCTAGAAAGCTGATTGGTGGAAGCCTGGGGGGGGGGGGGCAGGGCGCATGACATCATACTGGTGATCTGAATCCAAAAGAGGAGTCTTTGTTGAGTGTGTTGAGTCTTTGTTGAAACACTCAGAACTTGCTAGAAAAAAAAAAAAAAAAAAAAAAAAAAAAAAAAAAAAAAAAGAATCCCACAAGTTCCTGGACATGGAACTTAATTCACCAGCAAGGTCATAAATGAGTGAGAGGAGGGTCTTCCGGCCTGCGGCCCCATCTGTACAAAGCCTGTCCTCAGGTCTCAGGGTTTTGGGGCAGCGTGTGTGTGCACTGACAGCTGGCAGAAGGGTGACAGGCACACTCACAGGGCACCAGTAGGTACTACCTGCAGGGCAGGGGTCACAGGCTGGGACCAAGCTGCAGTGAGACTGTGGAGCATCCCTGCCCTGAAAGGACAAGAAACCCACTCCCAGGCAGTCTCTCCTGCCTTCCTCTCGGTGTGCAGAAGTGAGGTTCCTTCGGATAGCCTCAGCTGTTGTTCTCCCATCCTTCTGCGGCCAAGGAGGACTCTGGAGGAACGATGGAGGAGCAGAGGTGGTCATCAGATAGGGCGTACGCTTCTGCGGCTGTTCCCACCAGGCCATTTGCTAACCTTCTTGAGAGTGTAGAACCCATAGAAGGTTTTGCTTTCTAACAGCTTCGAAGTGTTTGGGAAGTAATCTAGCAGCAGCTGCCCTCTACAGAGTGTAATTGCGGCCCGGCTGATCTAGACAGAGGTGTAATTAAAGCTCTGAGTGTTCCCTTCCCACGGGGAGCAGGGGGCAGCCCTCCCAGCTGCCTGTGTGAGAACTCAGAATAGCCTGGATCTGTATCGCTCCAGCCCCATGGGCTGTCACTGCTCCAGCAAGCTATACTGGGCAGGTGGGCGCCCGCCATGTCTCCCCAGCCCTAGCCTAACAGACCCTTTAATATCCATGTTGCCACTAAGTTCTTCCAGGTGGGCAGGACTACCTACCCCAGGAGAGAGAGAGAGAGAGAGAGAGAGAGAGAGAGAGAGAGAGAGAGAACAATTCTGCAGAGTCAGTTTTCTCCTTCCACTCAGGTGTCCATCCTGCACAGCGAGTACCTAGACTCACGGATCATCCTGTGGCCTCCTCTCCCCACCCTGCTTCCTTTAAACGTAGTTCTCTAGAAATAAAACCTGTAGACAGCTTCATACATGCATATATTGTTTTAGTCTCA